GAGAGAGAGAGAGAGGGACGGACACGGGCACGCAAGCTGAGGCTGCAACCGCCGGGGAATTTGCAGCCCACAGGACCCCTGCAGTTGCAGGCCTGGCTGAAGTGGGGTGGGATCTTGAGGATCAGCATCCCGCTGTTTAGAGCCCTTGTTGGCTCCCTCGATTTCTGAAGTCCGGCAAACAGGGGCCGTGCTTACGGTAAGTCCTCCACGCAGTTGTCATACTTGCGTCTTCAACGGAACATGACGGAGCGGTCCAGATGTGGAACTGTCCGGGGAAAGGCAGCTGTGCGGATGGAGGGAGGGAGAATGAGCGCTTCACTTCACAGCTTCAGGGATTTCAGGGCCTTGGGGAGGAAGCGCTCCGCCGACTGGAAAGGAGAGGGGAGCCTGGACGGCCTGAAGAGGTAGGTGCCTTGGCCGACAGGGCTTCGTTTGAGGACCACCGGCTTGGTACAACTCCAAGCGATGTTGTGAAGCGGCATCTCGAAGCATCGCATGATGTGACTCTAGCAGCCAGCATGGCCCTCCTCCCTCCGCGAATTTGCATGTTGCAACCTGGGTGCAGGCGTGGCAAGTGAAGGGCAAACCTTGGCAGCTTCGCACATGAAATATTGAATCTCGAATACCTGCTGCACGCATTTTCTGCCAAGAGAATGCAGCACGGTTTAGCACTCACCTTGCTGGCAGACATCTTGACCCGCAGAGAGACCTCCTGATCCTGCCTACCGCTGGCATTTAGGCTTCTGCAGAGACGGGTCTGCCCAAAGGGCGTCCCTTCAAACACCAGACAAGCCGAAACTGAACAGTCAGAGGCCAATTTCATGGCAAGGCAGGGTCCAGCTTTTGGCAGAGGTGCTCGCGTCTCCGAGCCACAGCCTGATGCAAAGGGGGGCCAAGCTTTTAATGAGCAGCTATGGAGGCTCTGAGGCTGCTAAGCTCTCGGAGCTCCCGAAAACGCCCCTCCCTGGCCTCTGGAGCCGAGTTTGCAGCACCGTAGAAGACCAGCGGCAGATCGCAGCAAGCCTAAAGGAGGAAAACTAGGCATCAAGCAGACATCATCGACATCTCCTGTTGCCACTGCGCAACCGCAAGAGGCGTGAGACCGTGAGACATGATTGGGCGCCGGGTCAACTTCAGAAAAGCATGCATCACGGACCCCTTGGCTTGGCCCGCGGCTCGACTAGAGTCTTGCGCGCCTCGCCAGAAATCATGGCCAGTGTCCTGGGCAAGTTAATTCAAACGCCCGAAGAGAGCGAGAGAGACAAAGTTCTGACAGCTGTCACTTAAGCACTGTCAGCTCTCAAGCAGCATCTAATTTTCATGAGAAGCGAACCCAGCGAACCGGACAGCAATTGTCGCAAGAGACTCGAACAAACACTCAGTTGTCAAGGCAAGGCAAGCGACGACACTGGCCACCTAAAGTCTCTTGGCTCCGCGGATCTGCTGGGAGCCAAAAGACTCGAACCACCGGCGAGCAGCGGTGCGCTAGCGCGAAGGCACAGCCATGAATCTCTATTAAACCGCGGGCAACAGCAAAGGAATCCTCTGCTGCCCTAACGTCCACCGTGGCGCACTCAGCATGGATCAATCAGGAAGCTTGACGTGGCTGCTCTGAGCATACTGACAACGGCTGCCCCCACAAAAGTATGTTGCACCTCGAGGCGTTGCCCGGAGAGCAGTCCACAATCAGCAGTCGTCCAGCCCCAAACTGCAAGAGCAATTCAAGTCCAAGGCCAAGGTCATGGGAGAGCAAGGTTGTGTGTCCTTGCCTGGACTCGAGCCGAGAAGTTGATTGCCATGGTGGCCCCTTTTGCGGCATACCTCGGAGACTCAGGGGCAGTCATGCTGGAGAGGGTCAAAGCAGCGGCAATCTCTTACTGTAGCACATCACTGGGACAGGTCCACGCCTGTCTGTGCAGGATAACTTCCTTCACTTTGCAGGGCCAATTGCAATTCTGGGTTCCCGACCATTGGGGCTTCGGGCTGAGTGCGAAGGCCTCTGTTGCAAGAAGATCCGCATCGGCATCTCGCATCAAAACTGACTGGAGGGAGGACTGCCAGTCACCCGCTTCTGTTCAGGCTGCCGTCGGCGACGAATGGCGACGAGTGACTTAAGTAGCGGCTTGCACTGTAGCTGCAGCTCTAGCTCTTCATGCCTGCACTGCCTTTATCTCACAGCACTTGGCCTCATCGTCGTCTTCACCATCTTCACCGTGACTAAGACGACGAGGCGGCCCAGGCGGCGCAGGCTCTCCATGCCTGAAGTCACCGCGCAGACGATCCGAGAGCAACCAGACAGCAGTTGCCGCTGTTTGGAACTCATCGGGCCTAAAAGCTGATGCGTACGTCATCGTACATCACACATGGCAGCAACAATGGTACGTTCAGTGATTGCATGCAGAAACGACCTAAGCACCAAACATGTTGGGGAAAACAATTTTCCCCCAATGCCACCATCTTCCCGGGAAGCGCCCCACAATCACTTAGACGAAACGGGCCAACCTCATTCGAAACAAGTTTGGATTCGAGGGGAAACATGTGACAAGTTTCATCTGTACACTGTCACCCTCAAAAAAGCAGAATGTCAGGCGATTCAAGATCTTTGTGATCCCGACATGCGCTGAAGCTGGACTGAATTTCAACCTGAATGGAACTACACACCGAAGATCCGTCACCACGCGATGTAGTAGCCGAGTGTTTATGACACCATGGCCTGCCTTTCTTGGGCGACAGCATCAAGGAAATATCGTCATATTATCGTGCCATGCGTTTCTGAAAGAGCTATTCGCGATTCAAGTTGAAGGAAGCCGCGGAATCGCTTGTCAGCAATAGTCTCGTCAACTCAGTCATCACAACCCCACGCTTGAGGTTTAGGGAATGGCAGCTGTTGAACGGCGTGTACAGGCACAAACAACTCGGCTTATGGTATGTGGCGAAGTGAATTTTCTCGTTGTCCAAATGCAGCCATAAGTCGAGGAAGCGTGCATGCTTGGAAACTTCATCAGCATCATGCGTTGTTGCCAGGGATTCATGGTCAACATCATATTTTGGAGCATCGCCAAAGCATTCACGATCACAAGAATGTCATCGACGAAATGCTGGTATCAGCATCAGTAACACGATACGTGGCACCGGAAATCTCCAAGTATGAGCTTAAGCATTTAAGAACATGTTGGCAAGCTGTGTCGCAGAACTCAATCCTTGCACGCTTGCTTTCAAGAAGAATCGCCTTTAAGGACAGCTGGGGGCCAGGCCGAGCCCCGAGCTGCTCGTCTTCGTCCTCTTCTCGCTTTCTGGGCGTGGGCTGGCCCGATGGGAAGACTGCGTTGACACCGAGGAACATGTAGCTCCGGTCCTCGGACACTTGCACTGCCCGCTGCTGATAAGATGGTCTAAGGCAACTCTTGGCCACCCGACGATGACCTGGAAAGAAGGCAGACGCCCGAGAGGTCCCGATGCAACAGTCCGGCCCTGGACCTTGCAGCTTGCGCTTCTCGTTGCAAATTCCGAGTGACACAACGAGAGTCAAAGAGAACAACAGCAAGTTGAGAAAGTAGTAGGACTAGGAGGCAGATTCGTGTGAGGATTACAGCACAATAACGACTCACCCACCGTGAATGCCTGCAGTGCTCCGTGCGTGTAGCCAATGGCATACCTCGGCAGGAATGCAACTTCCGGCTACGTCTATGTTCACATTGTCGAAGCCGTGCTTGAACAGAGGGATGAAGAGGTCGGCACCCCCTGAAAGACAACACTGCAGCCTGCCATGCCTGCGTTACACGCGTCGCCGTCAAACCCCAAGTAACAAGTAGAGAAGCCAAGCCCCAGTCTCTACTGCTTGGTGGCAGGTGCTGAAGAAGGGGACGCGCGCACTGTGTAGCCAATACAGGCCAAGCCGCTCCATCCCACGAGGAAGAGCCGGGGGAAGGCAGGTCACCTGCATGGCAGAGGTCTTGGCTCCTACGCGCGCAGTAGGCGCAGCACTCTCGTGCGAACTCTCCCTGTCCTCATGGCTTCCGAGTCTCCGGCCGTAGCACGTGAAGCATGGCAGCTTGCTGCCGAGATCATCACTACCTGGGAACGGAAGGGCGTCCGGCGGCGCACATAAACGCACCTGTTGAAAGCCCCTATCAAAGGGGAGCAAGTACATTGTCGCTGCAGCGATGCAGCAGTTGCAAGCGCACATGCATACCAGCTTGGGACCAATGTCTCATGCTGCGTGTCTTCCTGCACTGCGTCCCACACTTGACATCGAAGATAGGGCACCCTCTGACGCGTGGAAGCACTTTATCCAAGACCCTGCCGAGCTGCATCTGCCATTGCCGTGAAGTTCGGGCGCATTGGACCAGCGGAGCTGTCGTCTCCCCACCTGGGCAGCGCACAACAATCTGAAAGCCTCCGTCAAGCCGAATGTCTCCGCCTGCAGTGTCTGGCATGAAGATCCTCGTGATTCCAAACGAGACCCGCGTGCTACTTGAATCAATCGAGAAAATGAGAGCGTCTATAATCCGATCGAAAACTTCAGTAGAGTATTCAGATAGGTTTGCTCGACGTCCTGTCGGGTTTGCACTGGGAAATTGTCATGCCTGGGCGGACTCCCAAAGTGGCGAGGGGCATTCTGGTACTCTGGTTGTCATCGCTGTTGTTCTCATCGTCGACATCATGCTGGTGCTCATCACTTCCTGACACACGATGGCTCAGGTACGGGTAAACACATATCACAGCAGCAGACAGTAGTTTGCAGTGCCTGCCCGACATACTTCTTCCAATGTCTCTGCATTATTGCAAACATGGTAGAGTGCTTGCTGCCAAGCGTCGGGAGGCATTCTGCCCTCGGTTGCCATACACCTGCAGCACATGCTCCACACAATGGTCATTTGAGCCAAGTTTCCAAAACGAACTAGCCCTGGAATGCCGGGGATTGGCACTTGGCTGCCGGCACTCCCGTTGAGTTCCCTGGTTGGCACGAGGACAAAGTCTCCCGAACCCACCTGGAGCGCATCGTCTCACCACAACGCTGCAAAGACAGACCACTGTAGATATCTTGCCTGGATGGGCCTGTCAAACGTGATCTGCAAGGCCGAGGTTTGCGGCACCTTAAGGTTTCAGGAGAAAGCTCAAGAAGACCAGGAAAGGTGAGGGCCCTCGAATATGACGATAGCAAGGGAGATCTCGGTGGAAGCGTAAGCTCCACACCATCAGCTCTCCATCTGCCGGAAAGGTCGCCACGATCTCCGGATCATCTGCAGCTTCATCCTGGCGCTTACAGACCAAAAGACCTGCAAACCTGAAGCCCCAAGCAGTTGGCAGCAAACGAGAGTCGATGGTTGCGGAGGCTTGGGCCTTGGAGTTTGCCACCTCAAAGACCAACCTCGCACAGAGAAAGCGATAAAAAAAAATGAGGGAGAGATGGACACAAAGAAAGGGGAGGGAGAGGGAGATAGGGAGTGGGAGACATCGTCTTAACTGCGGCTGCAAGGTTTGGTCTGGAAATGTCTGGAAGAGGACCCCTGCCTTGAATATCTCACTCGCTCATGTTCGCTCTGTTATCTGGCACTGTGGTTTGAAACCATCTCTTATACTGACACTGTTTCAAGCAGTCAGAGTGGGCCAGTTGGGTGGGTGCCAGGGCGGCAAGAAGAAAGGAAGGGGAGATGCCAGGAACCTCTTCAAATTGCAGCCAGGTGACACAGCTGGTCCACTGCGTTCTGCGGAAACACCTGCGTTGCCTTTGGGGCTCGGCCGCTGGTGGGCATCGGTTGAGTTCGGGGAGTGTCGCACAATGCTGAAAGTCTTCAGGTAACTTCAGGCTTCGGTGGGCTCCAGCAGCTGCATACAGGAATCTACTGAAAAGACCCGACGAGTGCAGATCTGTGTCGTTTGTGTGCTTTTCTGACTCATAGCTGGAGGTGTCGGTCAGTTCCGCTGCAGGCAGGGCACCAGCCATGTCGAGAAATAGATCTTCCAGCACGTGCAGCCTGATTGTCGAGGCATGGACTTCGAAATCGAAGACTGTGGGCGCATAAGGGCTGTGACATGTAAACTTGCTTCTCGTCTCGTGGTGCATCGTTATCGCAAGCCACAAATGCTGTGACTTGCCTGGTGCTGGATCCAATTTCTAACATGACCCGTACTCAGCAGCTGTTGTAAGCAAGATCAAGCTGCCTGTAGCCATGGCCATACTCCAACGACGGCAAGTGCGCCAGGTCCACACTGACGACGGCCCCCCTGCATTGCAGGCCTACTCTGCACCGTGCTGGCAGTGCTTGCAATGCAACCGAAGCCTTGATGCACACAGCATCCTGAAGACATTGTCGATTTGGCTAAAACTCCAAAGCCGATTCCAAGACTCCCTCAACTGCCAGATTAGGCTGCGCCGCGAACTACAGCGAGTGTTCCGACTTCAAACAAAGAGAAGTGTGCCTCATTTCCAAGCTGGCTGCTGGAATGGCGACTGACCGGCTCGCTGGTATGAAGCTGCACGGAAACGAGCAGTTCCTGCTGTGACATGCTTTGGCGTGGCGGATGATTGCCATCCTCCACCGCTATAGGATGCTCTCAACTGCCCATGAAGTCCTGCGTGGCATACAGGCACCATTCCCGCTGCAGCGATCTCCACCTCGCTCCAGATTTCACGCGTGGCTGCGATGTTGCAAGGCTTTTCAACTCGCAGTCGACGCATCTGCTCCGGGATGCCCGACCGTTGTCCGGGACCAGCAAAAGTGGGGAGGCGGATGTGTCGAGCGGTTGCAGAGACTGGCGAAAGATTGGGATGGTGGCAACTGGCAATGCACGTCGCTTCTGAAAAGAAATGCCTCGCTGAAGACCAGCTCCAGCCCCCTGGCTGAGGCATCCTGCCAGAGGAGGTTAGGAGGTCATGAAGGGAGCAGACAGTTCTGAAAAGCCGACTGTCCAATCGGCCTGGTCGAAGATGGTCGGCGCAGCCCGGCCTGTCAAGGTCTGACGCAAACACGCCGCTGCCAGAATAACGTCAAGATTCACCCCCTGCTGCTAGGGCACCGTCTATCATTGCGGCAACGAGATGTGGTGGCGTAACATCCCGTTGCAACGCTGCGACCTCAGCAAACCGTCGCCAGCAAGTATGCTTCCTACGAGAATCTAGGCTAGAAGCACATGACACAAAACGGCGAGAACCGAAATGAGAGAATTGCCCGAACATGTTAACTGTGGCGGCGCCAGCCTAGGTATTGAAGAGTGCAACCCCAGCTGCATAATGGCGGGAGGCCCCTTCGGACTGGACATTGCCGACCTTGGAATCACGGCTTGCATGAAGGCCTGCAGATCATCGGCAGCTCATGCTCGTGCTGAGTGGCTGTGTCAATAGCCAACTCTGGAGGAACCACGAGAGCATAAGTGAATCCTGCAGGTTTGGTAGATCTTGGGCAAGCAGGCCAAGCAGGCCAAGCAGTTGTGGAGAGTCCTGGAAGCAGCGGCCTCTCTGGCACCACCTGAGCCAAAAAAGGATGCGAAGGAGATCTGAAACCAGAGCACTTCGGTACACCAGCCCGGCTTGCCTGCAGAAGACTGCGTAGGCCACCATTCTCTTCAAAGTGCACATGCCACAGCGCGGTCAGGGACCAAGAGCTGACCTCGTGCCTGGCGAAACTCGTAGCTAGCGCAAAGAAGCTGCGACACTGCACTGCCAACTGCCGCCTGCCGCAGCCGATGCCACAGTATTGTGGCGGCATGGACTCCAGCATTATGGAGCTGTTCCCAGGCAGTACGGCTTCATCAAACCTTGGCCGGGCCGTGTTCCGACGACAACCCAGCCTTCTCCCGCCGATCACCCTGTCTAGCCAAAGAACCGAATAGAGAAAGTGTCGTGCATCTGTGTCTCGCCGTGCATGGGCAGCTCGACCTCCGGACCTCGTTGTGAAACATGGGTGCCCATAGTTTCGGATCGGCTGCCGGGGGGGTTTCGGATCAGAGGGAGAGAGTTTCGGCACCCAGTTTCGGCAGAGTTTCGAGACGCGCGTCTGTCAGTTGGGGGGGGGGGGGGGGGGGG